AGGCCAGTGAAGCTGAAGGCGTTTTCACAGGTAAATGCTTAAAGCCAGGAAACAAATTAATTTTGAGTTTCATAAATAGTAAGTGTGGGCCCAGTCCCTCTGACCTTCCTGTGCCCTAATGCAAGGTACAGATGCCAAGTGTGTTAGTGGTGCTGTGCTGGTAGCTCTATATTGTTCCATTTTTAATTTTTGAAAGGAATATATCAAAAGAAAGGCTCTGTCATTGGTGATCATGACCCTCTAAAGGCTTGGGTTGATGAGGAAAGAATGAAATAGTGGCTAGCCAGAGTATGGCCCAAGTATTGTGGGAGGTGTGGTTGAGAAATCTGATTGCTTAGTTTGGAATTAGTTTCAGGTTCATATTACTGAGCTTAAGATGTTTTTAGGAGGTCTCACTAGCTCTGGACAGGGTTAAGGATATGGGATACAAACCCCTTACATTTGAATTTTTTTTTTAACGTTTATTTTTGAGACAGAGAGCATGAACGGGGGAGGGTCAGAGAGAGGGAGACACAGAATCTGAAACAGGCTCCAGGCTCTGAGCGGTCAGCACAGAGCCCAACGCGGGGCTCGAACTCACTGACCGCGAGATCGTGACCTGAGCTGAAGTCAGCCGCTCAACCGACTGAACCACCCAGGCGCCCCAAAACCCCTTAACATTTGTATCAAAGTGGTCCTTAAAGAAAGGAGGGCCAGGGGAAATGGGAGGCTTCTAATTCCCAGGCAACTCTGACAAGAAGGAGCTGGCCCATCATTTCATAAGTGTGTGTGTTATTTCATGGGAGAGATAGTGACAAGATCATTTAAAAACATGGTATTAGTAATTTTCTGAATGGTCCTGAGGATGACTTATTATTAGTGGAAAGTTTTAAAGCAATAGACCCATTTAAAATATATATATATATTTTTAACGTTTATTCACTTTTTGAGAGACAGAGACAGAGTGTGAGCAGGGCAGGGGCAGAGAAAGAGGGAGACACATAATCCAAAGCAGGCTCCAGGCTCTGAGCTGTCAGCACAGAGCCCGATGTAGGGCTTGAACTCATGAACTGGGAGATCATGACCTGAGCTGAAGTTGGACACTTAACTGACTGAGCCTCCCAGGTGCCCCGCAATAGACCCAGTTTTAAAGCAATGAAATGTTTTAGTGCTTTAGTGTTAAAGGAAAACTCTGGATTCCAGGGATTACAGTGGCTTTTCATGATTGAGGGGATGATGATTTTGTAAATTTGGGGGATGTTTGCTCTTTAGAATTTTTTTTCTTCTTTTACATTCCTAGTAGAAGCCATTGTCTCCCTATTGAACACAGGTACTACTATTCAGTAAAATATTTATTTTTACATATGCATGAGCAAGGCATTGGAAGTCCTTCAAATTTATAATTTTATTGTATGCTTTGTACTTGTTTTTATGGAAATATTTCCTTGTCTAAGCAGCAGTCTTTTGGAAATTTACCTTCATCTCCTCTCCCATTTCTGTCCTTTACACACATACACACACCAAAAACATTTACTGTAGTTTTAGTTGGGGCTCAGGAAGAAGTACAAATAAATGCATGTGTTTAATTTGCCATCTTTACCCTGAACTCCTACTAGTCTTTGAATTTAATGCTGTTGATCTTTTCCTTTATGGTTTGTGTTTTATGGTTTTAATCTTTTTGTCTTGGTTTGGTTTTGGTTTTACATCTTAAGCTCTTTCTATCTCAAGGTTATAAACACACGTATCTATAGTTTCCTCTATTACATATGTTTTAAACATTGGGTCTTTCATTCATCTCATATGATGAAACATTGAAAAGTATTGAGTTTATGATAGTGACAAGATAGAGGTGTTTTAAAAATGGAAGAGAAATTAGAACTTAGAAAAAACCCCAAAAGGCAAGTGGCAAAGGAAAAGTAAGCCAAGTACACTACTGTGCTATGCAGTGAACAATTACATGGTGATAATAATGTAAACTCTGATCATGACCTAAATATAGTGGTATGACTATATTTAGAGGACAGGGTGACAGAAGAGGAGGGTTGGTAAGAGTTAATTCCCCATTTTTTATAATAGGAAGCCAATTGGCAACGTTTAAATAGATAAACCGAGAAACAGAAGTGTGAACAAAGTATTTAGATGTATGGCACTAACTCCTAGAAGAAGTAGCTTAAGAGTTAAAATTTGCAGGAAGTGGGGCACCTGGGTGGTTCAGTCCGTTGAGCATCTGACTTCAGCTCAGGTCATGATCTTGTGGTTCAAGAGTTTGAGCCCTGCATTGGGCCCACTGCTGTCAGCTCAGAGCCCGCTTTGAATCCTCTGTCCACCCCCACCTCTCTGCCCTGCCTCTGCTCATTCTCTCTTTCTCTCTCTCTCTCTCAGAAATGAATAAAAACATTTAAAAAATTTGTAGGAAATGGTTTTCAAAAGTTTTTTGATATTTTGAAAAGCCATGACTATTACTTAATTTTTTTTTTAAATTATGCATCTTAAGAAAAAAGAAAGAACAAGATAACGTCAAAGATGAAGGCAGATAAGGAGAGTGGCCACTCGTTTTCTGATGGAATAAGGAATATATTGCATGCCTGCTCAGGGCAGGGTTTGAGGCACAGATGAGGCATAGATAATTAGCAGGATAATTTAGCGAAATATGAAGTTCTCCTTATGTGTTTCCTTTCACTCCGGAGCAACCTCGAGTTTTGGCATGGCTAAGAATAGAGGCATCCTGATGTCAAAGCCCTTCTGCTTTTGTAAAAGTCGGAAGCACACCTGGGAAGAGGTTATGCCCCGGAGGGACTGGGAAGAGGAAGGATTTTGAAGAAAGGTCTTTCTGACTGGGAGGGAATTGGTGTGCACGTCCAGCAATGGGCTGTAATCCCTGGCTGTGTTGAAGCAAGTGTCAGCAAATGAGTGAATGGCTCTGTGGGGGTGTCATGGGAAGCCAGGTTCAAGCCCAGAGGCTTTTATAGCTGAATTCCCGTGTCTCTAATGTGGCACAGAGCTAAGAGTTTGAGAAGCCAGCACCTGAAGAGTCGTACCTGCTAGTACCACAAGGGCCTTAGCATTTACTGGTAAGACTGATGTCCAGTGATGGGATGGTGTGGGGAGCAGATAGGAAGCCTCTTCTGTGCCTTGATGTTTCTATGACCTTTGCACAGCCCTTGGCAAGTGGGATCTCCAAGTCTGGAGATGATGTTGAATTCCTCATTAGCACTCCAGTGCAGGGGCTTGGAGTAGGATTAAGTTCATTGAAAGAACATTTTAAAATGCAATAACTCTTACGGCACCTGGGTGGCTCAGTTGGTTGAGTGTCCGACTTCAGCTCAGGTCATGATCTCATGATTTGTGGGTTCGAGCCCCACACTGCGGTTCTGACTACGCAGAGCCTGCTTCGGATCCTCTGTCTCCATCTCTCTCTGCCCCTCCCCTGGTCATGTTCTCTCAAAAATAATTAAAACACACACACACACACACACACACACACACACACACACACAAATGCAGTAATTCTTGCATATCTGAATTTTCAGACTAAGATCACACCTGCTGCACGAGGATAGGTAGGAAGAGCCCCCATCTTCGCCCATTGCAGGAGGACCAGACAGCACTTACTTTAATGACTTTATGATAAGTAGTAAATGATGTGGTGTGCTCAGGCTCCCACGGAAGGAAAAGGTGGTGGGGCAGTCACCTCTAGCTTCTCGCCCCTCACCCAGGATCTATTCCCTTCTTTCCCACATGGCCTGGCTCCCCAATGGTTTTCCCTCTCCCTATATATGGGGATAAAAGAGGCAATGAGGGGATCTCTGCTCTGGGGAGGAAGAGGTAGAGAAGAGCCAGGCCAGAGTCTTCTTAGAGAGGACACTGATTTGCATTTGAATTCTGGGGTTCTAAATACCTGCCACAGGAGACTTAGTCCTTGGTCTCAGAGGTTAAAGGGGCTGAAGTACCCTAGGGAAGAAAGGGAAGGAGAGAAGGCTTTCCCACCTGGGAGGGAGCTTAGGGAGTCAAGAAGCCCAGATAGGAATAGAGAAGCACACAGCTCCATTAAACAAAGAGAGACCCAGCTTCACTGATGAGGGCAGGAGTGTGTGGGTATTTGGGAAGGGATGGGGGCTCTGAAAGGGGTCCTAGGGCCGGAACTGTGCATAGGGTAGATTTTAGTAGAACTTGTGTTTGCCTGTGTTACAGGCAGGCCCAGGTTCCATTCTCCCTTCTGGGGACCCTCCCAAAGAAGTCCTTGGACCTTCGTATTCAGAGGATCCCAGGGAAAGTGGTGGCAGTCCCAGGCAGAGCTAGGAAAAGATCTGGAGGTCACTCCTGAAGTGATAGCATGCTGGACATAACCAGGGAAGGGCCCTCTTCAGGGTCTCAGAGGCCTGCAGAGCTTTTGGCGATGTGTGCTCTTGGTCCACCATCTCTCACTGACAGGGATTTCTCAGAGACCGGGAGCAGCCCAGATCCCTCTACTGCCAGGGTAACTGGGAGGCAAGAAAACTCTTGGGATAGGTGAGAAAATAGAATTTTCCAGGTCAAGTTCTTGGCTGGGACCAGAGTGTGTGACCCCACCCTGTAGTGACACTGGCTTCCCCATTGACGCAAACACACAGGAACAGATACTTGGGTGGGAGGCTGGAACAGGTTTTTATTGTTAGGTATAAATTGTATTTACAAGAAAGCAGTAGGGTGCAGTGGGAGTAGGGTCAGGTCCAGTATCCTGGGTGACCTTTTCTCAGAGGGGACAGTCCTGCTGCCTCCTCTCACACTTCCTGGGAGACTCTCCCTCCTCTGCCTTTCTGGGTCTGGCCTGGTGTGGACAACGTAGCCATGCAGGGTAGGGCTGGGTATACAGATGGGATGGTTGAAGCAGGAGAAGGGGTGAGGCAAGGCCAGCATGAGGTGGCTGCTCTGCGGCCCCTGAGTCTACCCCCTCTCCTAGCCTACTTCTTCCTTCTTGGATTGGGGCTCCAAGCCCCAGTGAGGCTGGTGGGGGCCTCCTGGGCTCCAGGCTGGTCACTGGGCTATGACCCTTTTGGGGTCTGTGGCTGTTCAGTCCTGGGAGGGCAGAAGAGGGGTTTGAGGGGCTGATCAGGTCTCCCCTTCACTTCCCTCCCACTGTCCCTCTAGCTTCCTCACCTCTTACAGCCTTTGGAGCCCTTTCCCTTCTTGCCAGACTTGGGGGCTCCTTTGTCCCTCTTACAGCCCTGGACTTGTTTCCGTGGGGCTGGTGGCTTGTCCAGACGCTGCATCAGCTGCTGCACCCAGGTCTCTTTAGGGTCTGCGCATAGCTCTGGCTGAGAGCGCTTCCGAGGTGAGAACCTGGGGGTTGGACATTAGCAAGCATGTCCTAGTTTTGCCCGCCATGCCCTCCCCACTCAGCTGCACCCACCTTCTTGCACCCACTCACAGGATAGCTGAGATGGGGCAGCCCCTGCTTGGCTCCTGCTTCCGGTAGCTGCGGACAACCTGGGCGGGAATCTTCCTTAGGCTGTACTTGAGGCAACAATCCTGCGCCCCTCCATCACTGCCTGCAGGGTGGGGTTTACAGGGAGCCGGGGCTCCTGGTAGGCTCCCACCCGCGCCTCCCCTTCTCCCCATCCTAGGCAACTCCCTCTTTGATACCTTGGGTCCAGGGGATGCAGAAGGCCAGGACCAGGACAAGGAGGCTCAGAGCCAATGACTGAGCCATGGCTGTGGTAGAAGGTGAGTGTGAGGCCAGAGCGGTAGGCGTGGTGGACAGCTGCAAGTTGGGGGTCCGTGTGTCAGCTAGGACTGGTCTGCTGCCTATTTATGCAGGCAGACACTTTCACTTCCTCCATCCCCAGCCACTCTGTCAATGCAAGAATAGGGATCTCCCTCCTTTTCCTTCCTGAAAGGCTGCCTCACTAGTATGCGGAAACGAAAACTTCACACAGCCCATCGGATCCCAAGCCTCCTGAGTCTATCTCCTCAATATCAATTGAATCTGTCCAGCCCTTTTTCTACCTTTGGCCACTGTTTTGGTCCAGGCTTCACTGTGTCTCTCCTGGAACACTATGATTGCCTCTTCACTGCATTTTAGGTTCCATATTCTCCCCATTCTTCCACAGGCTGAGGACTGTTGCTTCCTAAAATGTGCATTTGATTTTTGGATTGTAAGAGTTCTTTTTTTTTTTAAAGTAGGCTTGATGCTTAGTGTGGAGCCCAATGTGGGACTTGAACTCACAACCCTGAGATCAAGACCTGAGCTGAGATTGAGAGTTGGACGCTTAACTGACTGAGCCACCCCAAAGATATTTCTTTTAAGTATTATTTATTTAAGTAATCTCTACACCGAGTGTGGGGCTTGGACTCATGATCCCGAGGTCACGAGTCACACGCATGCTCTTTGGACTGAGCTAGCCAGACACCTCTGGATTTTGAAAGTTCTTTATGCATTCTGGATAATAGACCCTTATCAGATATATGATTTGCAAATATATCCTCCTATTCTGTGGATTTTCACTATCTTGATAGTGTCCTTTGATACACAGAATTTTAAAATTTTGATGAAGTCCTACTTATCTATTTATTTTTCTGTTACCTGTGCTTTTAGTGTCATATTTAAGAAACCTATGCCAAATCTAAGGCCATGAAGATTTCTCCTTGTTTTTCCCCTCAACTTTATTGAGGTATAATTGACAAAATTGTATGTATTTAAAGTGTACAACATGATGACTTCATACAGGTATACATTATGAAATAATTACCATAATCAAGTTAATTAATACCTCTGTCACTTCACATGTTACCTTTTCACATAGTTTCTCCTTTTTTGTGGTGAAAATGCTTAAGATCTACTTTCTTACCAATTTCAAGTATACAATATAGTATTATTAACTACAGTCACCATGCTGTACATTCACTCCTTAGAACTTATTCATCTTATAACTGAAAGTTTGTACCTTTGACCAACATCTCCCCATGCTCCCCCTGCCCCCAACTCCTGGCACCACTCTGTTTCTATGTGTTTGAATTTTTTTTTTTTTGATTCCACATATAAGTGATACCATATACTATTTGTGTTTCTCTGTCTGGCTTATTTCACTTAATAAAAAAGGCTTTCCAGGTTCATCCATGTTGTCATGATGGCAGTTTCCTTCTTTTTTTATGGCTGAATAATATTCCATTGTATGTATGTATGTATTAAATCTTCTTTATCCATTCATCCATCAGTAGACACTTAGGTTGTTTCCATGTCTTGGCCATTGTGAATAATGATAACAATGAATAAGGGAGGACAAATATCACTTTGAGGTAGTGGTTTCATTTCCTTTGGATATATACCCAGAAGTGGGGTTGCTAGACCATATGTAGTTCTATTTTTAATTATTTGAGGAAATCCATATTGTTTTTCATAATGTATGTACCAATTTACATTCTTATCAACAATGTAGAGGGGTCCCTTTTCTCCACATCCTCTTCAACATTTGTTATCTCTTGTCTTTTTGATAATAACCATTCTAACAGGTATGAGGTGATATATCCTTGTGGTTTTTGGTTTGCATTTCCCTGATGATTAGTGATGTTGAGCATATTTTTATATACCTGTTAGGCATTTGTATATTCTTTGGAAAACTGTCTACTCAGGTCCTTTGTCCATTTTTAAATCATATTTTGTTTGTTTATTTTGCTATTGAGCTTATGAGTTGCTTATATATTTTAGGTATTACCCCTTATCAGATAGTTTGTAAATATTTTCTCCCATTCCCTAAGTTACATTTTCATTTTGCTGATGGCTTCCTTTTCTGTGCAGAAGCTTTTTAGTTTGATGTAGTCCCACTTGTTTATTTTGCTTTTGGTGTCATACCCCCCTAAAGTAATTGCCAAGACCAATATCAAGTAGTTTTTCCTTTTCTAGGAGTTTTACAGTTACAGGTCTTACATTTAAGTCCTTATCCATTTTGAGCTAATTTTTGTGTGTGGTGTAAGATACCGGTCCAGTTTCATTCCTGTAGATGTGGCCATCCAGTTTTACCAACATTGTTGTTCTTGGTGCCATTGTCAAAGATTAGTTGACCACATACGCATGGGTTTATTTCTGTGCTCTTTATTCTCTTCCATTGGTCTATGTATCTGTTTTCATGCTAGTACCATACTGTTTTAATAACTATAGCATTTTAATATAGTTTGAAATTATGAAGTATGATGCTTCCAGCTTTGTTTTTCTTCTTCATGATTCTGGTTGTTTGGAGTCTTTTGTGGTTCTTTTTTTTTTTTTTTTTTTTTTTTTTTTTTTTATAACGTTTATTTATTTTTGAGACAGAGAGAGACAGAGCATGAACGGGGGAGGGTCAGAGAGAGGGAGAGACAGAATCTGAAACAGGCTCCAGGCTCTGAGCTGTCAGCACAGAGCCCGCCACGGGGCTTGAACTCACTGACCGCGAGATCATGACCTGAGCCGAAGTCGGCTGCTCAACCAACTGAGCCACCCAGGCACTCCGAGTCTTTTGTGGTTCTATATGAATTTTAGGTTGCCTTTTTTTCTATTTATGTAAAAAATGCCATTGGAATTTTGACAGAGATTTCATTGAATCTTTTTAAAAATTTAAATATAATTTATTGTCAAATTGACTTACATACAATACCCAGTGCTCATCCTGCATTGAATCTTTAGCTCACTTTGGGTAGTATGGACATTTTAACAATATTAATATTACAATCCAAGAACACAGGATATCTTTCCATTTATTTGTGTCCTCCTCAGTTTCTTTCATCAGTGTCTTATATTTTTCAGTGTATGGTTCTTTCACTTCCTTGGTTAAATTAGCCCTAAGTATTTTATTGCTTTTGATGATATTATAAATGGGATTTAAAAAAAATTTCTCTTCTAGATAGTTTGTTGTTAGTATATGGAAGTATCGCTAATTTTTGTGTGTTGATTTTGTATCCTGAAAGTTTACTGAATTTGTTTATTAGTTTTTTGAGTTTGTGTGTGTGTGTGTGTGTGTGTGTGTGTGTGTGTGTGTGTGTGTGTTTTGGTGGAGTCCTTGGGATTTTCTATATATAAGATCATGACATCTGCAAACAAATGACAATTTTACAAGCAATGTACAAGCAAACGATCTGGATGCTTTTCATTTCTTTTTCTTGCCTAATTGCTCTGGCTAGGACTTCGAGTACTGAGTTGAATAGAAGTGTTGATAGTAAGCACCCTTGTTGTTCCTAATCTCCCCCAGCGTGGGGCTTGAACTCACAACCCTGAGATCAAGAATCACATGCTCTACCATCTGTGCCAGCCAGGCATCCCAAACATTTTTTAAAAATAAAGTCTATGCCCAACGTGGGGCTTGAACTCAGACCCCCTAGATCAAGAGTCACAAGCTCTACTGATTGAACCAGCCAGGTGCCCCAGTTTTGTTCCTGATCATACAGAAAAAGCTTTCGACCTTTCACTCTTGAAATATTGTCATATATGAAATATATAGCTGAAATATTGTCATATATGACTTTACTTATGTTGAGGTACATTCCTTCTATACCTAATGTATTGAGAGTTTTTATCATGAAAGAATGTTGAATTTTGTCAAATGCTTTTTATTGCATCTGTTGAGATGATCCTATAATTTTTATCCTTCATTATATTAATGTGTTTCACATTTGTTGATTTGAATATATGAACCACCCTTGCATCTCAGGGATAAATCGCACTTGATCATGGTGTATGACTCTTAATGTGCTGCCAAATATGGTTTGTAAGTATTTTGTTGAGGATTTTTGCATGTATGTTAATCAGGGATCTTGGCCTGTAGTTTTCTTTTCTTGAAGTGTCCTTGTCTGGTTTTAGTATCAGGGTAAGGCTGGCCTCATAAAATGAGTTTGGGAGTGTTCCTTCATCTTCAATTTTTTGGAAGAGTTTGATTGGTATTAATTCTTCTTTAAATGTTTGGTAGAATTTACCAGTGAAGGATTCACCTGGTAGAATTTACCAGGTCCATCTGGTCCTGGGCTTTTCTCCATTGGGAGATTTTTTATTCTTGATTTAGTGTCCTAACTAGTTATGGGTCTATTCATATTTTCTATTTCTTCATGATTCAATCTTGGTAGGTTGTATGTTTCTAGGAATTTGTCCATATTTTCTAGGATATCCAATTTGTTGGTTATATATATTATGAATATTGGTTATATATATAATTGTTCATAGTGGTCTCTTATGATCCTTTGTATTTGTGTGGTATCAGTTGTAATGCCTCCTTTTTCATTTCTGATTTTATTTTCCAGTAAAAATCTCTAACTGCTTCCATTGCTGCACAAATTCACATCTCCACCAACAGTGTACTATGGTTCCCTTTTCTCCATATCCTTACCAGCACTTGTTATTTTTTTTCTTTTTCATAATAGCCAATCTGACAGGTATGAGTTGATATCTCATTGTTGTTTTGATTTGCAGTTCCCTGATGGATTAGTGATGTTAAGCATCTTTTCATGTGCCTGTTGGCCATTTGTGTGTTTTCTTTGGAAAAATGTCTACTCAAATCCTCTACTTATTTTTTTCTTGTTTTTAAAAATTTTTATTTATTTATTTTGAGAGAGAGAGAGAGA